GATTTTCGTTTCTTAATCATCATCAGCTGCCGCGCCGGTGGGCCGCTGTTGTTTGCCGGTCGTTTGCGCGCGTGTCGGCTCGTTATAAAAATATGAACACACTTCTTTGCTGCTTTATTTTAATTCCTCGATCGACGCTCGTGGGTTTATTAGTTTTTTCCGCGCGCGCGACGTCGTCGCCAAAACCAAACACGCCGATATTAACAGGTGTCACAGGTGTATGTGCATGGTCAGACCAATTAATGCTTCCAATTAATTCGGCGATACTTTTGTTTATTACACGAAAAAAATATATGCAAAGAAAAATATAATTTTTTCTTTTTTTTTTGGTTAAGTTGGGTGTAGTTTTGTGGTTAAGTTAGGTTAAGACATATCACTTATCTGCCAGCTGCTCATTTCGCTTAACGACACTCATTTAAATTTAAATATTCCGTTTATTTCCGAGCGAATTAATTGCACACCTATTATGCCGACACATAAACATAAATTTTATGCAATCCAATATACGCGAAACTGTCAACTGCTTAACATAACCTATTTTGTAAGTATTATATAGGTACTGAACCAATCAAATATGAAGCGGTGTGGTTTTGTTTTTGAATATAATACCTAATAATTGGTACAATAAATGCGGAATGATTAAAACACGCAGCGCGTTGTTATCTCGAGCGCCATTTAGATAACGCGGCGACGTTCCGGCTACCGTGTGTGTTACACGGCCGGTACACGGCATGTGTGTTGAATGCAAAATGCACAAATGCATAAGACATGAATATGAATGTGCTTTGGTTAATTGACGCATTAATAAATATGCACATATTATTTCCTAATAAATTATAGCGAAATAACTCAAGGTACATCAAGAAAAAAATTATTTTAATATAAATTTACCTTACCTTAAATTAAAAATATTAACTGAGATTTTATTTGATGTGGATTGTTGTTGTAATAGGAGAAAGAACGCGGCGTATCACTAAAAATATTCAATGTTCTGTGTTTGTAAACAAGTTTATCTGCTGCACAAAACCGCGTGACACGACGAAATCTTGCAGGTAACTGACCGCGTGACACGACGAAATCTTGCAGGTAACTGACCCAAACAAAACAAATGCGCAGCATGTTTGTTCACGACGATAAGAATGCGAATTTAATTTCAATGTGTGCATCCTAGCGACATCTAAATATCCGAAAAATAAATAACTAAATATTGTGATTCTATTGACCTCGGATTGGCACCTGTCTAATCTTTTATTGCAATCGTTAAAAACTGAATAACTCTTATAAAAATGCCAGTAAATATTTCTTGAAATCTAAATATGAATTCCGTGTTGCTCAGATGTATTCACTTGTGTTATGTTTAAATGATTTTGTTGTAACGTAACGTGCACCCCAATAAATTAGCTGAAAAATCGTGCTTAAGTTATAGAAATTTGCATTGCAATTTGTAGGGATGTTGGGATCATAATTACAACAATATTTCAAATGTTACCATCTATGACATGTCGTCGAAATAATATTCTAGGTCATAATTGATAGAAATTAAAATATTTTTCGTCGTTACAAAGAGAAACTGTAACCCTATAAGGAGGAAATTAATATAAACCATCTAAATTGTACAAATTTCATCATTACAAGGAGTTTTTCATTAAATCGAGGCTTTGCTAAACTATATTTTATAGTCCGATGTTGGACTTGCGGTACACATGCCGAACATACAACTTATAATGTAATTTTTTAAAATTTTAATTTTCCAACTCTTTTTCTTCTCAAAATTAGAAATTATTCTAATTAATATTATATATTTAATTATTTATAACTTTTTACACTCCAACAACAATTTTTCCTCCTTAAAATGCAGAAAATCTTTAAAAAATTCAAAGTACTTTTCCTTATCAGTGATTTACGCACCGATTAACACTTGACGGTAATCCCATGCACCGCATATAATTAACTGGCGCTTACGCCGACACTCAGTATTCAAATCTGCTCTCGGTTCAAGAAAGACGTCGACGCCGATTAAATAATATATCAATATGTGAGGCACGCATCCGTAAACTTTGCCTCCGATTCAGCTACCGTTGTGCTTGCTACATCAACCCAAAGAAGTACCATACATGTCCCGCCGCCCACTCGAGTGTGAGTCGTATGTGTACAGCGAACAAGATACACAACTTCACTCCCAGGGGCCATTACGCGACTCGGACGCGTAATTTATGCGCTCGCGTTTCACGCCGCGACGTGTAGAGAAAATATTTTCCAATCGCCACTCTGTTACTAAACTAGGTACAAAACTATCAAATGAATATTCATGCACCGCCGTTGACAATAAAATGCGCAAGTGGGTGAAAATGTTGGAGGTTTTTATTCGCTGCGCTTGGATAAAATCCTAATGGACTAGTTCACGACTGGGAACGAATTGCCGGATTTCTATTAAGCGAGAGATTACAAGAAGAGCGGTAATGGCGCGCGCGCGGCTCGATTGCGCAGCAGCCGGAAACTTCAATTCGTCCAAGAGTAAATGGGATGAACGACGCGGAATGAAAGACCTAGGGGATGAAAGCACCCCGGAAACCAATGAGAAAATGTCTTTCATTTTCTTTTCCTTCAATTTTTTTCTCTATGCGCTATTTAACAGTCGATGTAACATAACCTCAAAAACTATTTTTATCTTATGATTTCTTGGAGTATAAAGTTTAAAAAACCAATTAGTCTCCCTCTGGTAAGCTATCCCGACGGTCGACCCACATAGCAAATCGTTTGTGCTGGCGCAACGCATAAAAGCGCAATTAATGCGAAATGCAAGCCTGAAAACCGCCTTGCGCGCGAGTGTGTTTAATATTTATTTATTTATTTCCACTGCGTGGAAAATTTAATTAGATTCTCGTCGCTGTGTAGCGCATAATTAATAAATGCGCGCGCTGTGTGGGTACTCGTGCAATTCGCAAATTATGAAAGCTAATTACGAAAGCTTATGTTCGTCGCTACATTGTTAAATCAAATATGTGCTTGTGCTGGTGCGCGGAATAATAATGCTAATGGGAAACATTTATAGTGCATGCGGTGCATACGCGGTTCTAATATAGAGGTCTAAGTCTTTAAGCGGATTGGAATTAAAATATAATTGTTTAGTTTTAATATAAATTTCTTACCTTAGATTAAAAATATTAACTGAGATTTTGTGTGGATTGGTGTTGTTATAGAAAAGAACACGGCATATCACTAGAAATATTCAATGTTCAATGTTTGTAAACACGTTTATCTGCTGCACAAAACCGCGTGACACGACCGAAATCTTGCAGGTAACTGACCCAAACAAAACAAACGCGTAGTGTGTTTGTTCACAGCGATAAGAATGCGAATTTATTTTCAATGTGTGCATCCTAGCGACATCTAAATACACAAAAAATAACTAAATCTGTTTATTCTTTTTTTTTTCCCAATTACTATAGTAAAAATGTTATGTGTTTAACCGAGGCTACAATGTATTAAATTTTGTAATCCAATGCTGGACTTGCGGTATACACGCCGAACATAGGCCCTAGAATGCAATTTTTCAAGTTTTTTTTTTTTCAATTTATTTAAATTTTATCTATTTGACGTTATTCAGAGCTTTTCGTTAAATCCAGGCTACGTGATATTAAATTTTGTAGTAGTCCAATGTTGGACTTGCGGTATACATGCCGAACATAGGACTAATAATGTAATTTTACGCTAGGTTTGAAGAAAAATCAACTGAATTAAACAAATTTCTGGGTTATTCAGAATATTTTGATATAAACAATGCAAAATAAGATAATATAACCAACTAATTAATTATTGTGTTTAACTAGATGTTTGCTGATGCAAAAAATGAAATTATTTAACACGAAAATGTCATTTACCTACTAAATACCAAATACTAAGTAGCTACTTATGCAAAGTAAACAAAGTAAAGTTTTACTGGGTGAACACCGCACGCAAATTGCAAGTGTGTGGTTTTCGGTCATTAAGAACATAACGGAAGTGGATATTCATTGAGCATTAGAGGCGATACGAGGAGAAAAACAACGCGTCGCGCTACCGTTGACTACACCTTTTTATTTTTTACGACGCTCCGGATCTCGGCCTGCATTAAAGTCGTAAATGTCACACGTAGGCCTTTAAAACACAACCCGGCTAATTATTACCTCAATGTTGATAAAACCATCGTAAACGTCAGCGCGTTACATAAATATTTTTCGTTTGTTTTTTAAGCTACCAAATAAAATTAACTTAAAATAGTATATTAAGTACCAAGTGGCTAAACAGGGACTTTACTCACGAGATTGATTAAGTTTAAGGAATCGAGTGTTTAACAACGTTTAGCCACGTGATACTTACGATATTTTTTTCTACTTTCATTCTAGTTCCACGTTGAGTTTTAGTATTTCAACTTTTTATTTTAAATCTTTGAGATTTGCTCGCACACTACTACAAAATACTAACGTAGCGTAGCATGGCATTTATTATGGTGCTTCACAAGCAAATGCGCAGGCGCAAGCTCCGTCCCGTAGATAATGCCCGTAGTTAATAAATATTACTCACGGCTTGGCCGTCCGCATGTAAAGTACCATTTTTTGTGCATAAAATCTTAGAAAAACTAGCGCTTTATAGTTGGAAGTTGAAAAAAATAACATAGAGGTTTTATAGTGATGTGATTATGCGTCTATAGTCTAACTCTATACTATGACAGACGTGAAAATATCGATTGCGGATTAATTGAATAACAAATGTTGACGTTCGACTAGCGCGTGCAAGGAAATAAAATGAGCGATTTGTCAGCTCGTCGATCGGCGGCACGTCAGGTACGCACACGCGGGTTTGGCATCCCTGACCTATCCTTTCGACATTAACGGGGCACTTCTTCTACAGGCGTGCACACACGAGACCGACAACAAGCGTGCATGGTGCACGTAACGCCAAACTGCTACTGTTATACTCGGTTGTACTCTACTCTAGCTAGAAGTCTAGTGCTCACTTACGTTTACGTGAATCGCCGTGAACGTTGAGGTGATCCCCTGAATCGTGGTGCGTTGCGTGCTCAGCTACTTTGCTGTTTTGTTCTCCGTGCACACGCATGCTGATCCGCGTGATGGAGGTATCTGTAAATAGAAATAGAAATAGAAACAATGTGTCAAAAACGTGCTAGTGGGTAAAAATATTGAGCGGAGGGAAATTGAAGTTAAATTAATTGATAAACAGTAAAATAATTAAAATTTGGAAGGTAAAAGGTCTAAAAACGTAGTTAAATGTGTTAAAAAGTGACATTTTTCAATTTTTGCTATTTTCTTTTTCAATCGTGAATATCTCGTAAACTAAAAGAGATACATAGGTACCTACAAATCACAGAGACTATTCTACGAACTATTCTCTATAAGATAGGGTAGTTAAAACCGAAATCTAAGAGATGAAATTTTCATTCTTAAGAAAAATTTGCCAAGGGGGGGTGCTTGATACTTTTTTTCGACGATTTTCAAAAATTCATATCTCTTAAACTAAAAGAGATAGCTACCAACGAATTGTTGATTATGAAAGATTGGAAGATTCTCTATCAGGTAAAAATATAAAATAATTATATTTCCTACACTAAAAGGTCGAAAAACGCGACTAAAAGTGCTAAAAAGTGACATTTTTCAATTTTTGACGATTTTATTCAATTGCGAATATCTCGTAAACTAAAAGAGATACATAGGTACAAATCTCAGAGACTATTCTACGAACTATTCTCTATAAGATAGGCTAGTTAAAACCGAAATCTAAGAGATGAAATTTTCATTCTTAAGAAAAATTTGCCAAGGGGGGGTGCTTGATACTTTTTTTCGACGATTTTCAAAAATTCATATCTCTTAAACTAAAAGAGATAGCTACCAACGAATTGTTGATTATGAAAGATTGAAAGATTCTCTATCAGGTAAAAATATAAAATAATTATATTTCCTACAGTAAAAGGTCGAAAAACGCGACTAAAAGTGCTAAAAAGTGACATTTTTCAATTTTTGACGATTTTTTTCAATCGCGAATATCTCGTAAACTAAAAGAGATACATAGGTACAAATCTCAGAGACTATTCAACGAACTATTCTCTATAAGATAGGCTAGTTAAAACCGAAATCAAAGAGATGAAATTTTCATTCTTAAGAAAAATTTGCCAAGGGGTGCTTGATACTTTTTTCGACGATTTTCCAAAATTAATATCTCTTAAACTGAAAGCGATAGCTACCAACGAATTGTTGATTATGAAAGATTGGAAAATTCTCAATCAGATAAAAATATAAAATAACTATATTTCCTACAGTAAAAGGTCGAAAAACGCGACTAAAAGTGCTAAAAAGTGACATTTTTCAATTTTTGACGATTTTTTTCAATCGCGAATATCTCGTAAACTAAAAGAGATACATAGGTACAAATCGCAGAGACTATTCTACGAACTATTCTCTATAAGATAGGCTAGTTAAAACCGAAATCTAAGAGATGAAATTTTCATTCTTAAGAAAAAATTGCCAAGGGGGGGTGCTTGATACTTTTTTTCGACGATTTTCAAAAATTCATATCTCTTAAACTAAAAGAGATAGCTACAAACGAATTATTGATTATGAAAGATTGGAAGATTCTCTATCAGATAAAAATATAAAATAATTATATTTTCTTCAGGAAAAGGTTGAAAAACGCGACTAAAAGTGCTAAAAAGTGACATTTTGCAATTTTTGTCCATTTTATTCAATCGCGAATATCTCGTAAACTAAAAGAGATACATAGGTACAAATCTCAGAGACTATTCTACGAACTATTCTCTATAAGATAGGCTAGTTAAAACCGAAATCTAAGAGATGAAATTTTCATTCTTAAGAAAAAATTGCCAAGGGGGGGTGCTTGATACTTTTTTTCGACGATTTTCAAAAATTAATATCTCTTAAACTGAAAGAGATAGCAACCAACGAATTGTTGATTATGAAAGATTGGAAGATTCTCTATCAGGTAAAAATATAAAATAATTATATTTCCTACACTAAAAGGTCGAAAAACGCGACTAAAAGTGCTAAAAAGTGACATTTTTCAATTTTTGACGATTTTATTCAATCGCGAATATCTCGTAAACTAAAAGAGATACATAGGTACAAATCTCAGAAACTATTCAACGAACTATTCTCTATAAGATAGGCTAGTTAAAACCGAAATCAAAGAGATGAAATTTTCATTCTTAAGAAAAATTTGCCAAGGGGGGGTGCTTGATACTTTTTTTCGACGATTTTCAAAAATTCATATCTCTTAAACTAAAAGAGATAGCTACCAACGAATTGTTGATTATGAAAGATTGGAAGATTCTCTATCAGATAAAAATATAAAATAAATATATTTCCTACAGTAAAAGGTCGAAAAACGCGACTAAAAGTGCTAAAAAGTGACATTTTTCAATTTTTGACGATTTTTTTCAATCGCGAATATCTCGTAAACTAAAAGAGGTACATAGGTACAAATCTCAGAAACTATTCAACGAACTATTCTCTATAAGATAGGCTAGTTAAAACCGAAATCAAAGAGATGAAATTTTCATTCTTAAGAAAAAATTGCCAAGGGGGGGTGCTTGATACTTTTTTTCGACGATTTTCAAAAATTCATATCTCTTAAACTAAAAGAGATAGCTACCAACGAATTGTTGATTATGAAAGATTGGAAGATTCTCTATCAGATAAAAATATAAAATAATTATATTTCCTACAGTAAAAGGTCGAAAAACGCGACTAAAAGTGCTAAAAGAGTGACATTTTACGAACTATTCTCTAATTTTTGAGATGAAATTTTCCATTTTATTCAATCGCGAATATCTCGTAAACCAAGGCTAAAAGTGACATTTTTCAATCTTTTATTCAGCGAAACTATAAAAGAGGTCATACGAACTATTCTCTATAAGATAGGCTAGTTAAAACCGAAATCAAAGAGATGAAATTTTCATTCTTAAGAAAAATTTGCCAAGGGGGTGCTTGATACTTTTTTCGACGATTTTCAAAATTCATATCTCTTAAACTAAAAGAGATAGCTACCAACGAATTGTTGATTATGAAAGATTGGAAGATTCTCTATCAGATAAAAATATAAAATAAATATATTTCCTACAGTAAAAGGTCGAAAAACGCGACTAAAAGTGCTAAAAAGTGACATTTTTCAATTTTTGACGATTTTTTTCAATCGCGAATATCTCGTAAACTAAAAAAGAGGTACATAGGTACAAATCTCAGAAACTATTCAACGAACTATTCTCTATAAGATAGGCTAGTTAAAACCGAAATCAAAGAGATGAAATTTTCATTCTTAAGAAAAATTTGCCAAGGGGGGGTGCTTGATACTTTTTTTCGACGATTTTCAAAAATTCATATCTCTTAAACTAAAAGAGATAGCTACCAACGAATTGTTGATTATGAAAGATTGGAAGATTCTCTATCAGATAAAAATATAAAATAAATATATTTCCTACAGTAAAAGGTCGAAAAACGCGACTAAAAGTGCTAAAAAGTGACATTTTTCAATTTTTGACGATTTTTTTCAATCGCGAATATCTCGTAAACTAAAAGAGGTACATAGGTACAAATCTCAGAAACTCTTCTACGAACTATTCTCTATAAGATAGGCTAGTTAAAACCGAAATCAAAGAGATGAAATTTTCATTCTTAAGAAAAAATTGCCAAGGGGGGGTGCTTGATACTTTTTTTCGACGATTTTCAAAAATTCATATCTCTTAAACTAAAAGAGATAGCTACCAACGAATTGTTGATTATGAAAGATTGGAAGATTCTCTATCAGATAAAAATATAAAATAATTATATTTCCTACAGTAAAAGGACGAAAAACGCGACTAAAAGTGCTAAAAAGTGACATTTTGCAATTTTTGTCCATTTTATTCAATCGCGAATATCTCGTAAACTAAAAGAGGTACATAGGTACAAATCTCAGAAACTATTCTACGAACTATTCTCTATAAGATAGGCTAGTTAAAACCGAAATCTAAGAGATGAAATTTTCATTCTTAAGAAAAAATTGCCAAGGGGGGGTGCTTGATACTTTTTTTCGACGATTTTCAAAAATTAATATCTCTTAAACTGAAAGAGATAGCTACCAACGAATTGTTGATTATGAAAGATTGGAAGATTCTCTATCAGGTAAAAATATAAAATAATTATATTTCCTACACTAAAAGGTCGAAAAACGCGACTAAAAGTGCTAAAAAGTGACATTTTTCAATTTTTGACGATTTTATTCAATTGCGAATATCTCGTAAACTAAAAGAGGTACATAGGTACAAATCTCAGAAACTATTCAACGAACTATTCTCTATAAGATAGGCTAGTTAAAACCGAAATCAAAGAGATGAAATTTTCATTCTTAAGAAAAATTTGCCAAGGGGGGGTGCTTGATACTTTTTTTCGACGATTTTCAAAAATTCATATCTCTTAAACTAAAAGAGATAGCTACCAACGAATTGTTGATTATGAAAGATTGGAAGATTCTCTATCAGATAAAAATATAAAATAAATATATTTCCTACAGTAAAAGGTCGAAAAACGCGACTAAAAGTGCTAAAAGTGACATTTTCAATTTTTGACGATTTTTTCAATCGCGAATATCTCGTAAACTAAAAAGAGGTACATAGGTACAAATCTCAGAAACTATTCAACGAACTATTCTCTATAAGATAGGCTAGTTAAAACCGAAATCAAAGAGATGAAATTTTCATTCTTAAGAAAAATTTGCCAAGGGGTGCTTGATACTTTTTTCGACGATTTTCAAAATTCATATCTCTTAAACTAAAAGAGATAGCTACCAACGAATTGTTGATTATGAAAGATTGGAAGATTCTCTATCAGATAAAAATATAAAATAAATATATTTCCTACAGTAAAAGGTCGAAAAACGCGACTAAAAGTGCTAAAAAGTGACATTTTTCAATTTTTGACGATTTTTTTCAATCGCGAATATCTCGTAAACTAAAAGAGGTACATAGGTACAAATCTCAGAAACTATTCAACGAACTATTCTCTATAAGATAGGCTAGTTAAAACCGAAATCAAAGAGATGAAATTTTCATTCTTAAGAAAAATTTGCCAAGGGG